GGTTCTGGTTTAGGAAAGTGCACCAATCTCTCAAATTTGACACTTGATCTTAAGTATAAACAGTTTACTTGTTGATTGCAATTTTTTTTAATATAAAAATGAATTTAAAACAATTTAACTAGCTAACTCTTTTAATTTATTTATTAGCTTTATATTTGATTTCTTTTTCTTTTTTATTCTGCTTATGTTTTTTTACTTTGTTTTTTATTTGTTAACTTAATTCATTTTTCTATTTTCAACTTTAACTTGAATTAATTATTTAATTCATTACTTATTATTTTATATTTTTTCTTAATTTTTTCCTTCGAACTAACTAATTAACAATATTTTGTCTGTCTTCAAAATTTAAAAAGTGAAAATAAAATTGGTGACGAAGGTGCATCAGGCTTAGGTTCTTGTTTAGGAAAGTGCACTAATCTCTCAAATTTGACACTTTATCTTCGGTATAAACAGTTTACTTGTTGATTGCAATTTTTTTTAATATAAAAATGAATTTAAAACAATTTAGCTAGCTAACTCTTTTAATTAATTAATTTATTTATTAGCTTTATATTTGATTTCTTTTTCTTTTTTATACTGCTTATGTTTTTTTACTTTGTTTTTTATTTGTTAATTTAATTCATTTTTCTATTTTATACTTTTACTTGAATTAATTATTTAATTCATTACTTATTATTTTATATTTTTTCTTAATTTTTTCCTTCGAACTAACTAATTAACAATATTTTGTCTGTCTTCAAAATTTAAAAAGTTAAAATAAAATTGGTGTCGAAGGTGCATCAGGCTTAGGTTCTGGTTTAGGAAAGTGCACTAATCTCTCAAATTTGACACTTAATCTTTAGTATAAACAGTTTACTTGTTGATTGCAATTTTTTTTAATATAAAAATGAATTTACAACAATTTAGCTAGCTAACTCTTTTAATTTATTTATTTATTAGCTTTATATTTGATTTCTTTTTCTTTTTTATTCTGCTTATGTTTTTTTACTTTGTTTTTTATTTGTTAATTTAATTTATTTTTCTATTTTATACTTTTACTTGAATTAATTATTTAATTCATTACTTATTATTTTATATTTTTTCT